AAAAAAAAATTATAAAATATTTTTATTTTTAAAAAAAATAGATCAGATATGAATTTATAAAATTTAAGCAAGCAAATTTGCCTGCTTATCTGGATGGTTTAAGGGATAATCAAATATAAAGAACAAAATTCTCAAATTAGCCAGTCTGATCTTGTCGATTGGGTAAAACAAACGATGGATCTTAATATTCATCAAAGTACTATTAGTTATTTAATAAAAAATAAGGATGAAATTGAAGAAAATTCCTTGACGAAAAGACAAAAAACAGTTCAATACCCAGCTCTTGAAAATATATTATATGAATAGATTCTACAAAGCCAAGATAGAATAATACTATCTGATGAGATTATAGTAGAGAAGGCTAAAAATTTTGCTAAATCATTACATACCTGAAGACGATTTCAAGTTTTTGAATGGTTGGCTACAAAAGTTCAAAAAAAGACAGATTAAAAAAAATAACCAAATATGGAAAAGATGCTTCTGTAGATGAAGAAGCTATTAAAATCGCTATCCCTCAGCTAAGAGAAATTCTAAAAGAATATGACTTGAAGGATATTTATAATATAGACGAGACTAGATTGTTTTACTGATATAACCACACTAATTAATACTTAGACAATATAAAATTTAATAGTTTGGTTTTTATAATATTAGACTTCTAAATAGACCCAACCAACCGAGATTTTTTTTTTTAATTTCATATAAAATTTTTATAAAAATTTTATAAAAATTTTTATAAAATTTTTTTTAAAAACCTATTCACCTATTAAAACATAAATTTTGTTAAAACATTTTTAAAATTTAGACTCGGTACTGAAAAAAAAGACCAATTAACAAAGAAAAATTTTACAAAAAATTGATTTATATATTATAAATTCTATAATAAATTATAAAATACAAACTTTCAAGAGTTATGCTGTAAAATTCTATTAAGATAACATGGTTTAATTTTGGTTAATTAAGCTCAAAAAAGATTTTTGAAAAATTATCAATTCGGCCTCATTTTTTAGCACCTAGCCTTTGTCCCAGTTGAGTTATAAAAACCAATTAATTAATTTTTTATAGGCTTAAATTTTTTTTTTCTTAGCCTAGAGCCAAACACCATGCTAGTGATAGTTCACCTTAAAGAAAAAAAAAAATAAAAAACAATTAATCTTGACACTCTGTACTAATGCTAATAGAACAAATAAAGTAATGCTATTTGTTATTGATAAGTCACCTAATCCATGTTGTTTTAAATCTATTAAATGCTGCAGTCTCTGTATCATGTATTATGCAAGCCAGAATGCATAGATAACAAATGTGTTGTTTCAAAAATGGCTTAAAAAATTTGACTTGAAAATGGCTAGTTACAAGATAATCTTTCTAATAGATAATGCAAAATATCACTCTGTTGACAATTTAAACTTTGTAACACAACCATAAATTCTTTTCCCCCAATACAACATCTTGCTTACAACCTATGGATACTGGCATTATAATATCCTTCAAGCACTGCTATTGAAGTTACTTTATAAAATAGCTACTTGATCAATATGAATCTGATAATAATAATAATAATAAAATGAATATTCTTACTGCTATACAATTTATTGTTTGAGTGTGAAGAGAAATATCGTCAAAAACTATAAAAAATTGCTTTAAACACATGAGAATTCTTTCACTTCAAGAAGATGATGATGATTATGATGATGACGATGACTATGATGATGAAGAGCCTGTCATTAATGATGATAATTTAATAAAAGAATTGTATAAAAATATTAAAACACTTAATTACCAAAATGCAATAAACCTTGAGGAGTACATTAATTATTCAGATAAAAAAATTGTAACAGAAATAATGAGCGATCAGGAAATTTTGAACCAAGCCATATACCAAGAACCTGAACAGACTAAAAATGATGAGGAAGATAACAGTATAGAAATACCCCAAATTACCCACAAGAAAGCACTAGATGCTATTAACCAAATAGAATTATACCTTATACAACAGAATCTTAATAATGTAACTCAAACAGAATATGATATAGTCTTGTCAAAATTGTATAAGTCAGTAAGAAAACTCCAAAATGCTTTGTTCAAGTAACTAAATATTGAGGCTTTTCTTAAGCAACTTGTAATATATGTATATAAAATATTTTTGTATAAAACAATAAGGCTGTTAAAATTAAAACTTTGTTTAATATTATCTTCTTATCTCTAATAAAAAAGAATTCTGATTCTGATTAGTATAAAGTGAAAAAAAAAATTCTTTTAATTATTCAAATTTTATACTTTTAAGTTAAAATATTTTTGAGTCTATTTTAGATTCATTTAAACTTTATTTAGTTCCTCTCCTCCAAAGTATAGTTAGATCTTTGCTTTTTTATATTGGATCTGATTTGTTATATTGGATCTGGTTTTGTTATATTAAATCTGGCTTTGTTAGATTGGATCTGGCTTTGTTATATTAGATCTGGCTTTGTTATATTAGATCTGGCTTTGTTACATTAGATCTGGCTTCATTACGTTAGATTTTGGCTTCTCTATAAAAAAAGTTTTCTTTATAAAATTTAATAAAACATTAGTATATGAAATTAAATAAGTAATAAAGTAAACCGAAAAGCAAAAATTCATAATATAGTAAAATAAAAAATGAAAGTTTACAATGTAGTAAAAATAAAAAAACAATCTATTGTAAAACAAAAGCTAAAGTTCTTAATAAAGTATATATATATATACAGTATATATATATCATATAACAAAATATTATTAGATAATAATTATTTCATATGATCATATCTATGCTATATTTTTATTAGTTATTTTATAAATACAATCCTCCTTAAATGTATAGCTTGAAGCCGGTCTCAAGGGTATACATTTATGAATGATTAACTGTATATCAAGCCAAACTAGTTCTTCTAGATCAATATTACAAAGAAAAAATGATGATATCTGACAAAGTTAGTAGCTTCTAGTTAAAGATCAAAGAAACTAAATTCTTAATAAGTTAAGAATTTAACGTAAAGCAAATTGGCTGCTTAGACAAATTATATCCAAGCTTTAATATTAAATAAGTCTTTATTAATACAAGAATATAGTATAGAAAATTTATGTTTAATTTAATAAGCAATTTACCTAAGATCTGGACAAAAATTTTTTTTTATATAAATTTTATTATAAGCTCGAATGTGTAGTGCCCCTATCTAAAACTTTTTTTACTAAATAAATCTCTCTTGGGCTTTTAACAAAAGTTATAAAGCTCATCAAGATGCATCTAATAGTAGTAAGAATATTAAAATTAGCTTGGTAGTTTTTAAGAAATCTTTAAAAAACTTCTTTTTTACATATAAAATTTCTTTAAAAAAAATTAATTTTTTTTAAAGAAATTTTATATATAAAAAAGAAGTTTTTTAAAGATTTCTCAAGAACTACCATTTATTAGAAGCCTAAGAGAGATTTATTTAGTAAAAGAAAGTTTTAGATAAAGCGCTGCATATTTAGACTTATAATAAAATTTAGGAATTGCTATTTGTACTACAATTTTTGCTATTTGTATCATTAAATTGACTAGAATTATACCCTAACTCTAACTAATTCTGGTCAAACTAATAGTGCAAATAGCAAAAATTGTGGTGTAAATAGCTGTACCCTAAAATTTATATATAAAAAAAAAAATTTTGTCCAGATCTCAGATAGATTGCCTATTAAATATAAAATTTTGGTACTTTTAATTTAAATAATAAAGACAAGATTGTTAAAAAAAAAAATTAAAACTATTAAGTCAATTTTAACTTTATAATTATTATATATTAAAAGAGTGCTAGTATTCATACCCCCTACTTTTGGTATTTGTACCCTAAAATTTAGAAAAGTGCTTTAAAAGAAATAATTTAATAAATAAATTTTTTTTTTGGATCTAATTAAAGTTGTTTATTAGGCTTTTCTGGTTTTAATAGTAGTAAAATTGTTAAAATTTAATAAGTAGTTCTCTTTTTATTTATATTCAAAGTTAGCAATTTTCAATTTATCTTTTAAAGAGAACTATTTGCCTAAATTTAATGATTTTACTAGTTAGAACTGAAAAAGCCTAAAGAACAACTTTAATTAGATCCAAAAAGAAGGTTTACTTATTAAGATTATCTCTTTTAAAGCACTTTTCTAAAATTTGAGGTACAAATACCAAAAGTAGAGGTACGTATACCAGCTCCCTATTAAAAATATAGTCAAACCTCGATATAATCACCAGGTTGGGAAACAAATATTTGATGATTATAAAGAAATATGACTATATAAAGATCAAATTTTATATGTTTTATAATATTTAGAATTAAGAAATAGTGTAACTATAACAAGATTGTGACTATATCAAAAGTGACTATAACAAGGTCTAACTGTATATTTAAAATATATTTAAAATATGTTTAAAATAAATCAAAATATAATAAAAATAGAAATTTCTAAGTATTTTTGGTTAGAGATATATAGCTTATATATTTCTAGCCTATTTAGCCAATCAAAGAATAAGAAAATTATATAACTAAAGCTCATATATTGATCTGATTGCTAATACAAGATTAAACAATTTTACTATACTATTACCAGATCTGAATAGATAGATTATCTTTATTTAATTTTTTTTTTACCTTTGTATCACTTACTAATTTTTTGTTCATTTATTTAGCTTATTGCTTTTCATTATTGGTGCTATTGCTAGTGTTGCAGTTGGTATTATTACTAGTATCACAGTTAGTATTGCAATTAGTATCATCATCTGGTCTTGTGTTTTGTGTCTAGTTTTGTGTCTTAGTGTAGTTTTATATTTGTTTTCTTGTTAAATTGCTAGTATATTTCAGTATATTTGCTTTCTTTGCTTTTTATTTTTAACTTGTTTATTTTTTTTTGTTTGTTTTTTTGCTATTTGCTTGCTTTGCTTTTGCTTTTTGCTTGT